GCTAATCTCACTGCTGGCGTAGTGTAATGCCAGTAAGGGGAACACTGCTTTTGAGAGTCTGCTGAGGCTTGGTCATTGCTTCTTCAGTGGCTCTGTAAATCGACTCACCTACTTCAGAGTGAGTTTGTTTGGTTTTGTTTTGTTTTTTTTCCCCCCTTACACTTCAATCTTGTCTTCAGTTCTTCTTGATTCAATCTTCAAAGCAGAAGCATGTTTCTTGGCGCTCTGATCTTTTGAAGGGAGCAAAGAAAGGGTAGTGGATCAGCTGTAAGGAAAGATTGGCTTAGGAGGGAAACTAGAGTAGCAGGAACCAGTGGGGAATTGAAGACCTGCAATAAAATAAACAAGTTCTGTTGTACACGGCTGCAGCTTGCATTTATCTGTGAGATTTGTACCCAGCGGATGAAATTTGGAATAACTTGCTGCCTCACTTCAGACACGTATTGCCAGTGTCAGAACAACTGGATCGCGTGTGGGAGCTCCCAAAATGATGCCTCCTGACCACAGCCTGTGCGTAACAGCTCTGTAAGCAATTGCATGACTTACTGCAGGAATGGCTGCACTTTGAAAGAGCAACGGGATGGGGACAAGCTTGAGGATTAAGACACCTAAACATCAATATTTGTGTATAGATGTGTACGTGCGAGCTAAGTGTCTGAGCCGATGTCAAAGTCACTGGAGGTGATGGAAATCTAAAATGACTTAAGGCAGCACCAGCTGGGGTGCTCGTATGTCTGCATGGGACTGGTAGGATCTACAGGAGAGCTGTGCTGTTTTGTTCTGAGCTGGCAGCTGGAGGTGAGGAGATGTATCCCAGGGGGCATCCAAAATATTCTCTGGAGAATCTTTTTTGCAGTGATTTTCTTTACCGGTGGTGCCACTCAAACTCACCTTTGTGGTTCAAGTGGGCACGCTGTGTTTGGGAACAACTGGGTCACAGGCCTGTCTCTGGGTAGCATCTCTGTTGTGGGGCAAAGGGCGTGACTGGCAGGTGAAGTTTTATTCAAGAGTTAGAGTTAACACATGGGTTATTACTGTACTTGTCACGTGAGCACCTCAGCTTTATCATCCTTAAGGGAAAGATTTTCTTTTAAGTTTTTTTATTTTTCCCCATGAAGTTCTCCAATCATTCCTAAATAATTTGCCAAAACCAGAACGATTTGCCAAAGCCAAACCAGAGTCATAAGGCTGGCTCCAAAAATTGTGTAGGCTACAGATTTTCTGCTCAATGGATTTTGACTCTCTTCTGTGGTCCTGAGAACTCATCCAGTCACAATGTCACTATCTCCAGTATACTTTGTGGGCTCTAACATACCCTCACCCAAGATCATTTCTCCTCTGAGCCCTTTCCCAAGCTGATGTTGACCCACTTCATCTGTTCTTACAACTTCGGGGATTCTTTTAGCTTATGGTGGAACAGACCATTTATGAACTTTCTGTGTGTGTATGTCTATATGACCTGCACGAGAGGTTGTACATCCCAATTTAAAGCTTGGCTTCACAAAGAACAAGCTGTTTGGAGGACAAAAAACCAGCAGTGAGATGCCTCACCCTGCCTTGCCTTTTCCTTCTAGTGAGAATGGTGCAAGCTGCTCCCTCTCTTGTACCAAACCCATAGGTGAAGAGGAAAAGGGGGTGAGGGGTACTGGCACCGCCCCTGCTTGGGGTCTTACCCGTAGGGAACAGAAGGCAGGCAGGCACAGCTGAAATATTCAAGAGGGCTAAAGCTGGCAGCACTATGTCCACCTGCTCATGCCCATGTGGGAAAGGTATCTTTTTGGTTCCTTATGTCCATTCATCATTACTATATATAGTGCCAACCCCAGGAGAAACATGAGTTTTGAAAAAAACAAATTGCTCACAAAGTTACTGGATTTGCCCATCTTAGACTTTATTTTTTTCTCGAGGTATCCAGGTGGAAGCAATGTGTTTGATGTACTTAAACCTATAAATTTGATTTCATCTTCAGGTTCAGCATTTTGACACAGGTAATTTAGCTTATAATGAGAGGTTCACACCTCAGAGCAATGCGTTTTGAGGTCACAGGCAAAAAGCCAATCTCCAGCTACTTGTATTGAGCTGTACTTCAAAAATCTCTGAAAGGAGTCAAAATGGACAAGACTTTCCTCATTTTTAGTGATGCATTAAATTATCACAAGATGAATTCATTTCAATAGAGGGGGAAAAAAAAAACTCAAAAGACCTTGATGTGGGTCTTTGCAGCCAAATTCCTGCAAGCTGCTCTGTGCCAGTCAGCCCTCACACCACCAGGAAGCGTACTGGCTGAACAGAGACTAGCAAATAATTTTTAATACCTCATTTCAGGTCTTTGGGGATTAATTTTATCATAAATTTGGAAGCCTGATTTAATTGTGCTAATTATATTTTCTCCTGGGAGTTGATGGATTACTACTTACCATCTTCTTGCTGTACGTAATGAATCACACTGAGGCTTTCTCTTATTTATACCTGTTAAAAGTCTAGGAAATGAGTTGCGATAGGCATTAAAGAAACATATAAGAAATTACCCTAAACCATTTGCTACATGTTCTTCCTCCTTTCATAGGTCTGTTCTCATATATGATGATAATGAGTCCATTCTTCTGGAAATAATTGCAGAACCTCCATTTTAATTCTCCCTCTATAGGGAATCCACTGAAGAGAGAGCATATTTCTAACATGCGAGAGAAATCTACAGTTCCTCTTCACATCGATCTATTAATATCCATCCTCATTTATCCATTTTTGAACGCAATGCTGTAGATGTGGAAGTCATTATGGCCACCACACTCCCTAGTACTTGTGATTCCACCAGATGTAATCGGGTGCATGTCAGAGGCTCGTTCCCCCCCCTCTCCCATGCAGAAAAGTGAGGTCCCTTGCCCCCCTACCCCATGGCAAAGAGGCTTCTTCCCAGGCAGCCATGTGCCCTCTTCACCCTGGGGGACACAGAGGTCGGTGGAAAGTCTGCACTAAGCTGCTTGGGTAGCTGGGTGTCATGTAGACCCTCAGGATCTCAAGCAGGAGTTGCAGCTGCTGAGGTTTCTTCTGCTTGTTGGGAGTAACAGGTAGGGTGCTGCGAGGCACTGGGTCCAGTAAGCTCAGCTGGGAGTTGAGAATCATAGAATGATAGACTCACAGAACGGTTTGGGTTGGGAGGGACCTTAAAGACCATCCAGTCCCAACCCCCTGCCACAGGTAGGGCCACCTCCCACCAGACCAGGTTGCTCCCAGCCCCATCCAGCCTGGCCTTGAGCACGGCCAGGGAGGGGGCAGCCACAGCTCCTCTGGGCAGCCTGTGCCAGGGCCTCACCGCCCTCACAGGGAAGAATTTCTTCCTAATATCTCATCTAAATCTCCCCTCTTTCAGTTTGAAACTGTTTTCCCTCGTTCTAACGCTACCCTCCCTGAAAGGGGGACCCACATCTTTTGTTTCCTGAGCTGATGAAAACAGGTTTTTGAAAGCTCTTCGCGCTGTAATTTGTCTGGTTACTCCCTTTTATAAATTGCATTTTCTCAAATGTGATATCACCTAAAGGAGGATCCTTCTTTCAGATATGACAATCATTTCCCCTTAATTCTTCTTGATAGTTTGTTTGTCTTCGCGGAGCAGATCTTCACGAGGAGAAAGAAAGGCACATTTCCTTCAGGAGAGAGTTATGAACACACTAAATTGAAAAGCTGCAGTGTTCTGTCACATTAACTCGGTCCCTACAACGCAGCAGTCGTGCTTGATAAATGGCAACATTAAGAATAACATTAAATTACACGTGCATGGGGTTGTGATGGCAACCAGGATACCTAACTACCCGGTGTTACACAGATTACCCTCCTCATTTGTGACTTTGGAAAAGATGGACATATAGGGGAAAAAGAAAATCAGTATTTTTTTCATCACAGTTAACAAAATATGTGGACCTTCTGTTGAGCTGTAATCCTGTAACTAGTACTATGAAAAAATACATAGTTATCCTATATTAAATACAGAAGTAATGACACATAGCGTTAATTTAGTACACAAATGATTATATAATTATATTTATTTATATTAACTGTGTGTGTGGGTGTACAATGTTACGTAAACCCACAGGAGCAGTTTTCCAGTCTGTCTGTCACTGTCACCCCGAAGTGCTGACTCTGCTGTGAGCGGGAGGGTGACTGCCTATTTAAGACTGCAAGTGGCAGCCAGCATTATTTTCTTCTGCTTTTGACCTACCTTTCCCCAATTCTGAATGGCTGGTATTTAGTGCTTTCTTTAAGCCACTTATCTGGATAGGGCTTGCTTATTAAAAGTCACAGACGTTATTTTAAATCACACCGCTGTCAATGCCTCTCTGTATTGGGTCATATTGCTGTAGAGTCCTGGAGGTTTCTGACTCGAGCCGAAGCACAGACAGATTCAAAAGGTATCTTCTGATACCAGTGTAGCCTTAAACAGTGGCAGGGGATTTTTCCAGAGCCCATGGTGTTATTTTCACCTTTTCATTGCAATCGATAGTAACAGTACTGTTCCCACACAGCCTGGCGAGGTCACGTTTAGGCTAACACTGACCACTTCCATTATCCCACCGGTGCCTTCTGTTGCGCTCTCTCCTTTATATAGTTCAAATCAAACACTTATTTTCAAAAGGATACATTTATTCTCCTGTAAAACTACCCTTAGATGTATTGCCCAAAAAAGCTTGAAGCCATTTAAGCAGCCTTTGTGCTGGAGCTAGTGCCTGTGCAGTTGATGTGTACAGACTTTTGGTTTCCCTCTTGCCAGCTGTACCTCTGCTGCAAGCATACTGAGGCAGGAGAGGCGTTCGTGCTACATATTTTTATGCAGCAGCTAAGACAGGGCTCTGGTTCATTACTCTGGCTCCTACAGTGCAAGCAAATTATCATAGTTTAAACACACTTTGGTTTATTTTTAGTCTGAAGGATAAGAGTGTGGGCAAGCTGGAGACTGGAAAACCAGGCAGAGAAATTCTGATGTTTTAGCTTTTCTTCTTCTTCAGGATCTTTGTGGCGAGTAAGGCCAAAAAAAGAGGTGGCAGGTGAGAAACATGGGCTATGTCTTGTAAAGGTCCTGACTCCTGCTAGATGCGACTTCTACAGAGGAAGCTTTTGTACTGGGGGTACCCCTGGCATGGGGGACATGGAAAGGAATTTGGGCAGTGTAAACACGTGCCTGCTCTTGTATCTGTTTGTGTGGTGAAACAGCGTTTAGGCACAGCCCCTGTGCCAACCAGACAAAGCTACCCCTGGAGAGCAGGACGGAGGCAATGCAGGGCAGCCTGGGGAATAGCTCTGGGATTTTTCCTTTGATTAATGTACGGGAGGAAGACAGCAAGGGGGCTCAGTGGGTTTAAGGACAAGGCAGTTCCCAAAATTACTCATCTTACAACTTCTTTTCTATCTCCTTTTTCTATTTTTTTTTTTCCAGAGTTAAATGTAAGGGACTCCGATGTAAGAGTGTGTGATGAATCGTCGTGTAAATACGGAGGAGTGTGCAAGGAAGAGGGCGATGGCTTGAAATGTGCGTGTCAGTTCCAGGTAAGGGCTGCTCACCTTTTTGTTTGCCATTTCTGACCAATCTTTCAGGTGTGTTGAAGTATTTGTAGAATCACTGCTTTAAAAATTCCGCTCATCAACAGGCTTGTATAGTCCAACTATAAGCTCCTTTTTTTAACGGCACTGATTGGGATGGTACGTGCCCAAACTTCACCGGGGTGTGCTCAGGGAGCAAGTGGAGAGCGGAGCATCACGTTAGCTCCCCGCACGGTTTTGGTAAGTCAGCCATCAGCACAGAGCGATGTGGGGAATGCCACGTGCTGGGCACCCACGGCCCCCGTGACTGGCATGAGCAGGCACGGGGTGACACCCGCTCTCTGCCCCCCACCTGGCCTCATCCTTCCCCGAGACCTGGGAGGGGAGGTGACATGGAGCAGCTCACACAACACCAGATGAAGCTTTATAATTTAAATGCAGTACTTATTACGGATTACTTGCTCTAATACTCGGTATCTGGAGGCTTCTTCCCTGCTCTGCTGGTGGCCAGATGTGGTACATTAGACCCTGGGAGATGTTAAGGAATTTTGAAAATCAGATATTAACAGGATCACCAGTGATCATAAAGTTTTTGAAAGAAAACAGTGAATTAGTCTGACTCGAGGGAAAAAAAAAAAGTAAATTTGATTAAAAATATCCTCTGAACTTTTAAAAAGTAATAAATAGCAAATTCAGTTTGCTTTGTTGGTTTTTGGGCCTTTAGTTTACAGTGTTTATAACTATCATGGCAATCCTTCCTCCCCTCTCACCCCTGGCTTTTCAAAGAAAAGAGAATACTGAGGTTCTTTCTATTTAAAATTTATAGCCAGGACTAATGTATCAAGTATTACGAGACTCCCAGTAAAACTGGAAGAGGTGGCAGTGTTATCAACCGACTCTGGAGTGGCCTGTCTTTTGGTGTTTTAAAACCAATCCTGTGTTCTGTTTCTAATAAATAATAAATCAAGGGGAACCAGAATAGCAGCAGTGTGTATGTGATCTTACACTGGCATTGGATTCCTCTGTTTCAGAGCTGGCTTTTGATGTGGTGTTGTTCAGGTGGGTACCTATGCTGGGGGCATCCTGCGGCTTATGTCCCATAAGAACAATGGGATCTGACTGCCTAAGAAAGGGAGAAAAAATTCTTAAAAGAGGTTTATTCATCACCCTTCACTCTGTCTAACTTTTATTTATGAAAAATAATAAGATAAGCCCCCAGTAATGATTAAAAAAAAAAAAGGAAAAGAAATTCAATCCTACCTAAGCAAAGATTTCATTTATTTTCTGCAGGTGGTAAACTTTATGACTTCCTAATATCCTGGTCATGAAGACTTAAAAAGGAACTAGCCCATGTGATAAGCTGCTCCTTTGTCTTGAAAAGCCAATTTTTAAAACCAGTATTATTTTTAAGCTACTTATAAGTTAGTTGTACTTCTTGAAAAATTTGTCCTATACTCTACAGAAAGAAGCCTGAGGATGAGGAGAAGGTATCGTAATTTTCAGACATGGCAGGTTGAATTCTTCCTCTAACTCTCAACCTTAATTATTCATCTGTAACTAGCAGCACCAAAATATCCCAAGCAACAACACCTCAGCCCAAACTATTAGGTTCTTCATGTGCAAGACTATCTGATAGCTAGCTGATTATTTTTTTCTGACATTGCGATGCTTTGAAAAGGAATTGGACCCGTTTCTGTACAGTGGTTCAGCTGAACACGTGCTGAGAGAGGAAGAGTGGGGTTATCAGGCTGTTCTTCCTGAAGTCCCTTTCCTATTCCCCACATCTGGGACACAGCACGTGGATAAATGCAGCGCTGCTCCCATCTGGCAAGGCATTTCTTACGCTCTTAAAACTGCATTTTTTAGAAAAAAGCGTTCCAGCGAGAGAGTTGCTGAATTAAAACGGTCTCGGGGCTGGGTGCTGGTGGGGTGAGGATTATCCTGCTGCTGGGGGTGAGGCTACAGCCCTGGCTGCCTGACAGCGGGGTATTTTGGGGAAGAAGGGCATTGCTATTCACAGCTGCCCCCGAACTAAGGCCAAGGCTGGCACAAACCGTCCCTCAGATGCAGGAAAATGCATAGATTTCTTTCCAGGCATCACCACTCCTTCCTCTTCCTCCTTATCTGCCACCCCTCCTGGCCTGGCAGCATCTCTCAACTGTTTGGTCTTCTAAAACTTTAAATATTAATGAGTCGTAGTTTTTCCTCCTAGGATCCCCTTTGGAGATGACCGGTTGCCAAATGCCAGCGTTGTCACCGAAACAGCTCTAATGTCATAGCAGCAGGAGCTCTGCGGGCTGCCATCTCTCTGAACACCTTGTAGGCTTTCCTGTCTTGCCAAGTCATAAAGCGGGACACCAAAGTTTGATTCCCCAAGATCAGATTCACAAATTAGACCATAGGAGAGGTGCTGAAGGATTCAGTTGTGTTCTCCTTGCTGTGACCTTGATGATACCCTGACTTTCTGCAGGCCTAGTCGGAAAGAAGGATAACTCCCCTTTTATTATAATGGAAGTAGGGGGTAGCACATGTTCATCAAACTTTTGGAAAGGCCTTTTGCTGTAATTTGGATGATGTTTTGCAAAACCTAAATTAAGAACTAATCGACACCTAAGGAGTGTGTTATGGACTGGCAGGGGGAGGGGAGGTGAGAGAGCGCCAATGTGGAGCTCTTTTTCAATCTCATTAAGAAAGGGTCAACAACAAATGGCTTAATAAGACAGAACAGGAAAAAGCATATAGATAGTGAGTAAACCTTACATCCCTTCAGATGCAGGGTACTCCTCAATCATGCAGCATTGGATAGATCCCGGGTCAATTTTCCCATGGGACGCTGTGCAGAGCAGATCCCGTCCATGAAGAGATACTTTCCCTTTTGGTCATTTGAGCTGTTTGGGGATTTCCTTATAAGAAGACAACTCTACTCCTAAAGGACATTTGCATGAGAACCTTTGGCTGCACTGTACCAAATCGCTAAAGGCTTACCAAACTGTAAAAAAGGAATCACTTTGCCTCTCGTTTTCTGTCCTCAGGACAGAGACCTGCAACTTTAGAACATCACACAGCAACTTTAAGATTGAATTGAGAATTATCTATTGGAAAGTATTGTCCCCCTCAAGAGTCTCCTGTTTAATTATTCCCCAGAAGTGACTGTCCAGTATGAGACATGACAGGACTGATGGCTGTGGTTGAATGTCTGAGAGCTACTCGCTATGGGAAAGCATTACAAAACTGTTAGAAATCATTTTCAGAGCTGGCAGCATGATTTATTTCTGTTCGTGCATGCTTAGTTCATTCTCAGTTGGTCATCTATGGCAGGATGACAAAGGAGGGAGGATAATTCCCTTCAAAATTACGTTTTAAAAATGGAGTGTTTTGAGGTTTGTGTATGCCAAAGCACAAAGAAATTGTTGTGGCAGAGGCTGTCATTTGGAATTTGGAGGAGAAACTCGTGTCCTTTTGAGGCAGTTTAGCTTAACTAATGTTGCCCTTTCTGTGTGAACTCTCACTGGTTGAACTGTACTGGTTTAATTGTACACTTTATATGGTTAAGAAATTTGGTGGCTAGTCTGTGTATTGGTTCATCGCTTCTGGTTGTTCGGGTTTTTGCCTTGGGGTTTTAAAGATGCCAAAGGTGTCTGGAATCACAGTTACCATTGTAGCCCCAAACAGGGCAAGGTCCCCTTTTCCACGCAGTGAAGTGGGGTTTGGAGCTGCAGTTCAGCAAAAAAAAAGCAGGGAGCAGCGTAGCACTCGCAGGTGGTGGTGGTCTCAGGGTGTTTCCCAGCATTTTAATTCACGTTATATGTACAAGGGGTATATAATCTATCTTTCTTGGAATGTAAGAAAGTAGCAAAATACAGGCTGCTCCTGCCAAAGCCATTCTGAATGATAATTTTCTTCCTTTCTTTCTTTTTATTAAGTATATCAATGCTACTGACTTTGAGCTTAAATTTTTTCAGTATAGTAATACAAAAGTATTATTATAGTTGTTGACCAAGTAAAACAGACTCATGATGCTCATGAATTTAATGGAGATGGTGATTGTTTTCCATCTCCCTTGAAAGATCATTCTATGATCAGAAAGATCAGCAAATCTCCCCTTAAGCACTGTTCACCTCAAATTATCCTTTGCTCGGTTTCATCCCCCTGTGCCTAGTCTTCTTACATTCTTGTATTATCTTGAAGACATTTCTCCTTCCTCATTGTTTATCCTTCAAATACTTCTAGATGCTTGTCATATTCCCTCTAGCCATTACTGAGTCCCACTATGGTTATTCTGTTCTTTTAATCTTTCCTAATCTGTTCAGCCCATACGGAGTTGGACTACTGTTTCAGTGATCCAAAAGGAATACATGCAGTGATACTGAGAAGCTAATGTATTTTAAATCATCCTTTAGCGAACAGGGTTATAAGTTACTGATAATGATTCATATTTACACAACTATCTTCCTGTATATCAATATACAGTTGAGATTAATCACATGATTTTGCACGACTGAGTTACTTTACGATTTCTTTTTCAGTGTCACACAAACTATATTCCTGTTTGTGGATCAAACGGAGACACTTACCAAAACGAATGCTTCCTCAGGAGAGCTTCTTGCAAGCATCAGAAAGAGATAACAGTGGTGTCAAGAGGACCTTGTTATTCTGGTATGTAAAACATCGCTTTGTGTTACTAATGAATGACGTTATATGGTTAGCTCCTTAGTATTGCCCTTAATTCCAGAGATTTTAATTTTCATGCTTTTCATTGAATGAAATAATGTGGAAAACCCAGGTCCTCTTTAGCGGTGGGATATTTTTGCAGTGAAGAAATCTGATTTATCTTCTGATATGATAACAGGTTAATAAATAAACATTAAAAGTAAAAATACTTTATCTGAGAAAATAATTTGTGAATGCTTCTGTTGTATGTACAAGGAGCCTTGATACTCAACCAAAGGCTTACAACAAATTTGGAGCAGACTCCAAATTAGTAATTTCTTTAGGACACATTTTTTGGATGTACAGAATTAGCGTGACATCCAGCAAGTGACACTGACCATCCTGACTGCCACTCTGCCTGTATCCAAGGCATCACCTTTGGCTAATGTCACTTTGGGTCATTACCTTGAAGGTATGCATAACTCTTACAAAGTCACTGTCCCTCACATTTCTAATGGACTGGCCTTTTCTAGTTTTCCACACACTCAAACCACAGAATTTCCACATGCTTAAAATACATAGAACAGGCTTTCACTGTCTCGAATATTACAACATGCTCTTGGACACAGAAGCTTTAGCCACCAGAGGTCTTCTGAACCTCTGGAGAGAATCAAAACTGGTGAGACCAGACACGTGGCTGGCTTTCTCACAATTAAATGACTCGGTAGCGTCAACAACTGCATTCTTTGGTACATAAATAACACAGAAAAAAAAATAAGTTGTGGGACATCCCTCATTTTTTGATACATGGTAGTTACACGGATTAACCTAGGCAAGGTTATACCTATGTGGCAGCCAAAAGCGTGGCCATGGGTCAGGTGCACACACCTGGCTAGCTTTGTGTTGGCTCGTCTAGTCTAGTGATTGGTGACAGTTTAGAGGTAGCAGCCTGGAACACACAGGTAGCTGCAACATCCTATCTGGACGTTAGGGTAAATATATGGGTGGTGTGCCTAGGCCAGGTCCCTGCTGCTGCCAGTCCCAGAGCTACCTCATTTAAATGCAGCGTGGCTGTGCTTCACTCAAGCTGCTGTAATGCCTTGGATGGCAGCATAGACCTATGGGGTTGTTTGCTAAGGTCCAAAACCAATCTCCGATGTTTTTTCCCAATACTGAAGGAAACCTGCATTTTGTGCCCAGCTGAGCCATATGATTCAAGCATACCTCGGGCAAATGACTGAATCTACCTTCTTTCCCAATTTCCCACCTGTAAATTATCACCAGATGCTGCAGAAATAGGATAAAAAAAAAATGCATTATGGTTTTGAAGCACTCACATATTCCTATAACAGAACCCAAGATTTATGAAGGTTTGAACTGAGGATGTAGAAGTAATTTTTTTTAAATTTAATTTCATGCCCAAAGTATATTAAGAAACAGACTCACAGCATGAAAGTTTCTTTCCCTCACCAAACTGAAATACTAGGATAATGTTTTGGGAACAAAAAGCAAAAGTGTTTATTTTTATATGTGTTCTACCTTGCTAAGAAAAAGACATTTTGAAATGAAAAATTGATTCTTCTCAGACTCAGGTTGCTGGCAGCTAATTACTACATTACTTAGCTAGTCTGGGATTATTTTTTTTAACCTTCCTCTCCTTTTCTTAAAGTCCTACATAAACCCCAGGAAACACAGCATAATTTTTGGCACTTAGTGTAATAGATCAAGACACAATTGAGGCACAATTGACCAGAAAATACTGAGAACGTGTTTCCGAAACCGAGGGTGCGATTCAGGCTTCATAGCGCATTTACACTGGTGCAGTTTAAAGTGCTTCAGCGGAGCTCTACCAGAACGGTACCTGCTGCTCCCCGAGTGTCTGACACGCTGCAGTTGGCGTGAGGTTATTGGATGATGAAAGCCATCATCTGGAACTTCTCCATGCCCTGCCTGGGATCATAGGTCATCGAGAAGTCAATATATTTTACTCTTGATCTGTAACACATATATGTAGGGACAATCAAATGCCTAAATTAAAAAATCCTTTATAGACCCCCGTTAATTTTCACTGAGTGCCTCTGAATTTGCTTTGAAAATGCTTTGTTCTTGGACATCATTGGGAACTAAGTATAGATTTGCTGGTTTCCTGTCAGAGTTTTGGTTTTTCAAAGCAAAGCTTCATCCTGGTGGGAGGCACCTGAGACAATAGGATGAAATACCCCCATAGTGTTGTAACAACTATTTAATATTTAAAGTTCATCAGACTTCTGAATCTCATATAAGAATGAAATACTTCCCGTTTGCTAGGCATTGATGCCTTCTGAAGCTACGGCACTGGAACAGGCTATACTGAGTGATTTAGACCTATTTCTTGGCAGGCAACCATTTGATTAAATTCTTACAGTCATGGGTGATTTAGCAGCATATTTATATATTTCTTTCCTTTGTCCAAGTTCTGTCAGAGCTGCAAGATGCTAAAATAAGCAACATTAAAAAAGTCAATCATAGCTGCTTTAGGAATGAACAAAATGCAAGTTTTTACATTAAAAATGGTGTTTTAGAGAAATGTAAAAGAACGTATGGCTGAAGTTTTCATGACTGCATGTGCAGGTCTTAACATTGTCAAAGCCCATTTTTCAATGAAGGGACATTGTGGGGTTTTTTTCAAAGGTCTGGGTTTATAAAAGTGTTTCTATGCCTAATTACCCCTGGCACAAGGTGTGGATGACGTGTGGGTTTTAGACAATGCGTGTAGCCCTATGTTGCACTATACAGGGAAACTAGGAAAATGGATGAAATGCAGCTTTAGCATTCTCTTTGCCTTATACCTTGATTTACCTTTGAGAAACGATGGGTCAAGTCAAACTAGGTACAATTTTGACCTACACCTCACCTGGCCTTTTGCATTTATAAAGGAATCATCCTGTCTGTGACTGGATGGAGATGAACAGGGCTGCAAAGCAAAGTCCTTGCTGGTAGTGCTTCCCATCTTCCACAGCTTCTCCTTGTTCTGTGGGATTGTCCTGAACAAGACCAGAGCACTGTCCTAGCCTTTTCCTTTTTCTTTTTTATTTCTCACCCTTATCAGTTCCCTGTTCACAGTTCAGCCCAAAGCCGAATGCAGAGGTGGGACCATCCAGTGGGGCAGGGAGAGATGTCAATATCTACACCAGGATTCCTGCCACACTCATGGCATCAGCAGTCTTGCTGATGACCTGAAGCCTTGGTCAGTTCATAAGGGGTGACATTACATTGAAATTCGTTCATGTTATGTCATCCTGTACTGGCGGTTGTCCTGAACTGGCTTGCTAAAGAGATTTAAGAAACCAGGAAAAGAGGGAGATCAGGGTTCTCAGAGCATTGAGGAGGAATGTCACCAAGTCCCTTGATTTCTTCTGCCTCCTTTTGTTGGTGAATTTATAGTCTTTTATTAGTTTAAATAAAATAATTTAGTAAATAAGAAATAGATCTTTACAATTAATGTCAAAGAATGTGTGTTCCTGTTTGCCCACAGAGCCACAATTTTGACTGCTGCGGGATTTGTATTATATGTGTGTGAAAATATAACGGCACAATGATGTGGTACTTTACATATTGTACTGGTAGCTTCTCAGTGTGCTGTATATATTTGGAAGGCACAGTCCTTTTTGTTGGGATTTCTAAAGTAAAAAAAGAAAAGCTAATTGCAAAACTAGAAACAAACCCTGTATCTCTCTGTTAGATTTAGCAAATTACTCTCTTAGGAGTGGCTTTAACTTAATGTTCTTCAGTCTGAAATAATCAAACTCTTGCCCTGAATTTAAATGCACAGGTTTTTAAGGTAAATGTTGTGGAGTTGGTTTTTTTTTTTTTTTATGGGAGGCTTACAGTGAAGCATAATTAGATGCACACATTGTCCTGTAAAATATAATAAGCTCAGTTTAATCCTTTTGAGGGAGTTAAGGAAGAAATTCTAGGCAACTTCCTTCTAGATTAAGAAAGTGTGGAAATAACTCTTTATAATTTTGCCAGAAAGCCATAACAAACCTGAAAACCTGCTATAAAAACATTCATTCATTCTGAGAGCTGGCTGAGACCCTTATTCCCAGATTCAGCACAGTACAGGAGCTTTCCTGTCCAGCCTGCAAGGAGGGTTTGTAACAGCACAGCATCACCGTTCGCTCATTAGGAAATGTTTTGGAAGCAAAGAAATAAGCTTAGCCAGACATATCTCATCAAGAGATCATATCTCATCTAGAGGGGAGATTTAGGTGAGGTATTAGGAAGAAATTCTTCCCTGTGAGGGTGGTGAGGCCCTGGCACAGGCTGCCCAGAGAGGCTGTGGCTGCCCCCTCCCTGGCAGTGCTCAAGGCCAGGCTGGATGGGGCTGGGAGCAACCTGGTCTGGTGGGAGGTGTCCCTGCCCAGGGCAGGGGGTTGGAACTGGATGGTCTTTAAGGTCCCTTCCAACCCAAACCATTCCGTGACTCTTTGAATCCGCAGGATTCAATATCCTGTACTTTTTTTTTTTTTGCATGACATAATTAAGCAGGAAATGGCTGCCAGGATCAAGTGATAGCAACCACTTTTCCCCTGAAGATGTCAAGGCAAATGGACATTCCATATGCACAGCCTGGCAGTGTGGAAGTTAAAAGCCCATCTCCAGCAGCCAGTGGCCTTGCGGCGGCTGGCAGTGAGGCTTGGTTCCTCCCCAAAATCTCCTGCTGGCCTACCAAAGTCAAGGGTAATTCCTAGCAGGCAGCCCCGCTCCTTCACAAACCGCTTTTGTGCAGCAGCATGAGCTCTGCTCCGCTGCCAGCAGCTGGAAGCTGGAGCTTGCTTTGGTCTTTGCTCTGGCCAGTGGCTTGCAACGGGCGGTGCTGATTTCAGATCTCTTCCGAAACACTGGTCTTCATGCTGCTGCTTGAGATTTCGGGGCCTGTGCTGATGCTGCTGCAGGAGCTGATGGAGAACTGCACTGTGCTGAGGAAAGAGGGAAAATTAAAAGCTCTTGCTGAGCAACACAACAGTGCTGTCATTGCCATGCCTGGCGCCAACTGTAGATCAAGATGGTCTTCTTTGGTAGCAAGTTCTTGATAATTTTATGCAATCTTTACTTAGAGGTGCTCTTGTGTACCCAGGGTTAGACTGCAGCAAGCTTGCCCTGCCCCACCGTGGAGGGGACTGCTTCATTAGCGCTGTTATCCAGGAAATCCAGGCTAGCAGGGAACTAGGAGTTGAGATAGCAGCTACCCGTTCTCCCTTCCATTTCTGTCTCATGAGTAACCAAAGTCAACAGAATAAAAGAGTCAACATTATCCTGGACTTGCTCAGTGAAGTTTCTGGCGTGCTGGTGTGGGAAGACCTGTTTCTGCTTAATGCAAAGAAGTGGCACGTACTGTCTTTGTACTAAAAAACCCTACAGCTGTATCCCAAAAGCTTTAGGGGAAAATCCCAGACTTGGGTATAAACAGTATAATAACTCTTGGGTGCCAAAGTTCAGGTGCTGGAAATCCCTTCTCAGCTGTCAGCTAAGCCTTGCAATACCTAAATTCTGCAAATACATCATTTTTTGGCTTTCCTTGCTGGAGAACAGTGTACGTTTCTACTTTCGACATGTCAAGAGGTGTTCTGTTCTGCACACGATTGAATAGCTGCTGACCTTTTCTTACACAGATCCAAAAAAGGCGCAGTGTTTTGGTATTTCTTTGCCTCTCTGTGAGCAGGGTCGGATAGCTTTGCTGCGGAGGTGCCCGCTGGCTCACCTGCCCCGTGTGAATCAAGTGGCAGGGTCTGCTTGCTTAAATTTGTCAGTGGATTGTTTGTCCTCCTGTTTGTACGTAGCAATTTGGAGCTGTTGCCCTAAATAGGGAATTTTCATGCTAGTTTGAGTTAAAAGCCATCCCTCCTGAATGAGAGAGGCTGCAGGCTCTTTTGGGTTTGGAGAGTACCTCCTGCCTCTGCACCAAAGCAGGCCCACGGTACAGAAATGGCTCCTGTTCAGAAAGAATAATAAAAAAAAAGGGATTCTGACTGTAGCCCAGTGCTTACAGTGTTCAGATGCTGTGTCTGATCCAAGTGCTTCTTTATGCATTTTATCCAGAAACTCCTTCACAAATAAAAGCAGCCTGCAGCGGAAACCTGTACATTTGTTTATAAGCATATTTTTATAAGTCTGTTTGGAAAAGGTGGGTTAAGTAAAGAGAGAGGTTAGTAACTCGCTCTCTAATTACCACCCGTGGCTGGGGCAGGGGGATGCTATTTCTGTCCAGCTTCCTCATTTGTTTGAGCGCCTTTCTTGCCAGGTCTTGGTGCATGGAGACCACTTTTGGAAATCCTGAATTGGTTAAGGGCCTGAAAAGAGCAGGGCTGCTTGTCCAAGTAAGCTTGCGAAAAAAATGCTACTTTTTTAACCAGCAGCTGCTCAGGAAAATCTCGCCAAGGCTCAGAAAAAAGCAGGAACACCGGCTTAGTTTAGCATGGTTACCCTGGAGACAAGAGTGCTTCCACAGCTCCCAGGCTCAGAGGGGAGGCATGAGCTCCCAATGAAAAGTTGAAAATGATGCAGTGTTATAGAGAATGACACTCTTTTTTTAATGGTTCCTGGAGATCTGAAAGCCCAGAGAAGTGGGAATGGATCTATCCGGTTACTATGATGTTCTGTCAAGTGGAGACAGAGTTGCCTGTGGACTTTGTGTGTATCAACGTGCTGATCTACAGCGATGGGTGGTCAGAGCATCAGCTCTGTCATTTACATGGCTCTCTTGTGACAGCTGGTACTGTCTGTGTGATGGTACCTCCCCTGCCACACAGCATCCGCGCCTCGTGGTGTAACCAGAGCCCCTCATGCTGGAGCGGAGCCGCATTTCTCACCTCCGGGCTGAATGCGCAGGGAAAAGCAGTCGGAGAGTGAGAGCTGGAAATAAAAACATGGAACACATCAAGTTTCTTTGAGACACTTTAGCATTTGGTTTTTATAGGAATTACATGTTGAACTTGCTCGTGTTTATATGCCAGCCTTCTCTCCCCCAGAACAGCTTCTGACACAATTTCACCACTACAAATAAGCCGATATACTTATCCCATACAAGTAAATTGTTCTCCTTCAAATTTGTTAATGGAGCAATACCACATCATAAGGCATATTTCTCAGAGACTCGACAGTGACATTTCATATGGGATTGTCTGCTTTGTCAGTAAAGTGGGTCACTATTGATGGAATAAGAGCCCTTCTGTTTTTGCATTCATTTTCTATACCACAGAATTGTGACCCATTTCCTATACCACAGAATAGTGCTATAGGAGGAAAGAGAGGAAAATTTAGGCAGAGGAAAAAAAACCCCTCTCTATTCCTGATATTCCACGTGACAGGAGCTTATTTTTAATGTGTGAAGTGACCCAGTAACGTGGAATTTCACACTTTCATCCACATACTAGAGGGAATTATTCTTAGAAATATAGCTGCTTAAAGAAAAGTGGGGGAGGGAACTGAGCAAACAGAGGGTTTGGGTTTTCCTCTGATGTGAACAACGAGCTCATATGTGGAAGTGAGAACCTTGCTTCCCTCTCTGTCTGGTCTCCCTCTCCTTTCAGATTTGCGGAAATAAATGCAGCTGCCTTCTCCATCACCAAAGCAGGCATGAAAGGAGAGGTGTGGGACGAGCAGAGTGTGTGCTCTGTTCCTCCTGTCATCTTCCAGAGAAGCTGAGCTGATGGGGATGGGGAGCAATTCACCGACAGTAGTTGCCATTCCATCCTCTCCTCTCTGCCTCCTTTGAGCGAGAAAGACTGAGGGAGGTTTGTGACTCAGAACAAGTGTCGAAGGGCTTGTCTTTACTGCTGTGCTAGCTGAAGGTGCTGTGCGGACCGCTGCCCAGCGGGATGCACATCCCTGTGCAAAATCCCGAGCCAGCTCCGTAATGCTCTGGTGTGAAGTCAGTTGGCCTGGGGTGGTGAGGAAGCTCAAGTCCTGGTGACGCTCTCGCACGGCTGATGCAAAGGGGAGGCAGCCCCAGGCTGTCACTCATCAGCTGCTAATCCAGTCAGTCGAATGTCAATGAAATAACTATGCCATTAGAGCATCCTTATATGAAGTGATTGACTCAGCTGAGAGGCGCTATTTTGTTGTTAGATGACTTAAGCCAACTTTGAGGACTAGTTGTCTTCTGGAGGTACTTCTGCAGTCAGGTGATTTATATATTACTCCTTCATGTACCACTCCCAGGGCCAGAGGGTAAAAAAAAATAAACATTCCACAAATCAGGCTCTATACTCTTCGTCTCTTTTGGCTTTAGCAAATTTGAATCTCTAACAGTTGAAAAAAGGCTAAGAAAGGAATTAAGTTTTCAGTATTGAATGACACTGTTCCTTGAGTAAAAACATCTGGACAGCGAAAAGGGGAGTAGGGCCCGGTAAGCACGGACAAACTGTATTAAGGGATGCCAGACTTTATGTGGGATGTTTGTTTTTACACCTGGCTCATGAAATGCGACGCCTGTGTGATGTTTTACAGTGACAAGTTCCTGAATGAACAGCTGCTCCTGGAGCAATGTTTTCATTTGCTTTCTTTTTTTTTCTCCCCTTCTGTTTCTTTTTCAGATAATGGCTCTGGGTCAGGAGAAGGAGGTGAGTACCAAGCCCCAGTTATACTTGCTTTTGGTCTTTCATTTTTACTCTGTGTGTACCAGTTTTATGTATATGGTTGCTGTATACCACATGAATTAAGGAAAAATTATGACAACTTAAAAATAAGCTTTAATGTTGCGGTCTTAGCTGACCATTTCAGCTAAGTGACAGGCTGTAGTGTGCGCTTGACCAACAGTGTTCTTTCAGATTTGCTCTATGTAATTTTTCATTTGTTGCCAGCGATATAGTGTAATATTTAGATCCTGATTTCACCTGGTTTTTTGCTCCTGGAAATGTCCATTTGCAATAAATTTCTTACCTTTTTTTTTTTCCGCCCCCCCTCTAATTCATTTTCTTAGTGTCTACAACGTCTAGTTATTCCTTTATCCTCGATCAAACATGTTGCCTAAAATATGTAACGGCTGCATTATGATATCTGGTTTTATCGAGTATTTCACATGTTTCTGTTCAAAGCTGCATATTCAAAGAAGGGATGTAGCACAGTAGTTAGTTACTCTTCTGTCTTTGAATGCATCTTAGCCTTCTTTCAAGGATTAAAAAAACCATATATATAATTTATCTTAATTCTGTCTTTGATACTACTAGCAAGAATACATATAGAATGAAAAAAGCGAGATACAGATATATACAGACATGGAAAAGCTGGTTTGCTTTTAGGCTTCGCTTGTATTAAGAAAGTGTTGCAGTTCATGCTGATGGGACTGAGTTTTGAGATATGGGGAATCTTGTATAGCGACATGAAAACATGCTTTTGTGGAAAATGATCGATGGCATCACTGTGTAGCTAAACAGAACAGCTAACTTCCCCAAAACCAGGAGGTAGCTCCCTCTTTTTTCCTGTATCAAGTGAAGGGGAGGCATTTCACTCCCCACTAATAAGATGCTGTCAGTAAATCCCTGGGCTGCTCCTAGCACGTGGCCGTTCTCACCTTTGTTTCCTCTTGGAGCAATGTCTGAAGGAACAATTTTCTGCTCAAACATTGCCTCTTCTTACCTTCACTGGTGACTTTTTTCTGAAGCTTTTCTTCCTAAGATTACATCATGCTCTTTCCCCAGCTCTGTTTGCTTCTTCTTCACCCTTTGTTTCCCAGCCTGTTGTTTCACTACAGCTGCTCCCTACAAGCTGAGCATCGCTTGCCTCAGTACTACAATGCAGTTCTTGTAGGAGACCGATGATAGTAATTTAGTCCACATCTGACTTTTATTTTTGGAGCAGTTTTAGAAATGTTTGAATGTTATTGGGACTTTTTTTTCAGTATTTCCTAATTGGATGCAAAAATCCTCGGTGAAGTCCCTTGTGAATGGTACTGTGTTGGTCCAGAAGAGATTGGCAGCCCACTGACAGATGTGGGGATTCTTTGGGTAATTTTGTGACCAGTTTGGAGAAAAGTAGGCCAGAACATGCTGCGCTTTGTTGGTTAGGCTGCTCACTGAAGAGGTGAAAGGTCCACATTCAAATATACTCATTGCTTGATTTGAGGCAGGAGACTGAACCCAGGTCCATGTCTCTTGGTAGGAGAGGTACAAAATGGGTCTCCTTTGTCATTACTGTTGGTTTTATTCTCACTTGAAATATTCATTGAGCCTGGGACAAAGGGAGTGGGAGGAAAGATGCATGCTATGGAAAGGCTTTGGTAGCTGAGACTCAGCCTGCCAATCAGTTTTAATTATTTATGCAAAATAGAATTGCATCAGTTGAGGAGATTTGGTGGTCCCTCCACGCTACCTTATAGCCGTGGTTAGTGCATTGTCTCGGGAGGTGCAATACGTAGGTTCAGTTCACTTCAGGCAGAAAGAATTGAATCTGGGTCCCTTGGCCCCAGGTGAATATCTGCACAGCTTGGGTATTGAATGAAGAAGGGACAACACACCCACTACCTCCCCCAGCAGCTTTGTGCTGTTAGCCCTTCATTTATTTGGCTTTCTTCTGAGTGCCTTTGGGCTAACTGAAGTGTTCCCGCTTCTGTTCAGTATGAAAACAGTTGGGTTTAGTTCTTAATTTTAGATAGAAAAAATACTTTAAACAACCATAAATTGAAAATCCTGCTTGGCACTTTTTTTTTTTTTTTTTTTTTGGCTACATCTAAGCTATTTGTGACACATTGAATTAGAACTGCCTCTGTCCACCTTCCTCACCAAACTGGGTGTTGGGTAATACTTCTGCAGAACAGTTGGCTATTCTTCAGCATGTCGAGTCATTTTCTGTGTCTGAAAGCAATCCTTCGAAGGATGGAATCCACTGTTGCTGTGATTATTGAACTCTGCTCTGGCCAAAAATCCAAGGATATTTTTGTACTGAGAATATTTTTGTATCTGGAATTGTTTTTGTTCCATTATTCAAGTAACTGGAAAAGCGTTACAAGGAGACATTAAAAACATCAAAGACTTATTACAAGTTAAGGGAATTTAGAATTAAAACCAAACTTCTAAAAGAATGCTGAACCTATTGAGGATGGAGATGCATTGTTTGGGATCCAGGCAAGAAGAAAGGGTAGGAACCTGGGCAGAGGGTGACCTGCAGGGTAGGGGTGCTCCCTGCTGCACACTACAGTCCTGCCTCCTTGGTTATTCCAGCTATGGGACTGACGGGAGCACAGCTCTTTCCTGGCCCAGTCTTCCCATTTTTCTTTTGGAGGAAGCCAGGATATGCTGAGATATAATTATCACCAAGGCCTGATAGTTTAATATCATAATCTTGGCTAAGGCTGCACAAGCGGGAACCAAATTGCAAGGAAGCAGCAATAGAAGCGGAAAAACCGCAAGGATAAGTAAGAGACAGCAAGTGAGCAACCATGCTAGCTTAGAGGTTTGTGTTTCCTTCCTAGGATTTACATTTCCAGACGGTAATCACAGAATCAGCGTTTGCTATGTTTCTTAAACACACAATTAGCGTGATTGTGTATGCACCAGTGATGCACACGCGGAATGGATGAGCGCAGCTGCTTGTATACGTGCAGGAAGCATTGCAATTGCCGTGCAGGGGATGTGCTGTTTGCTGGTAGATTTTTAACTGCGAGGGAAAGTTCTGGGAAACCGTCTGAGCTGTGCTTTTCAGTTGCTATAGCTCAGCCTGTGTGAGTCTCCACTGCTGAAATTAGCTGCTTGCCTCACATGCAGCTGAGATTTGTGCTTAGTGGTTCACACTGTTCTCTTTCATTTTCCAGACACAGAACAAGCTCATTAATGATTCTGAAACTCGACTTGATGCAGATTTTCCCTCCTACTCCCAAACTGTATGATGTTAAATGCATTCATTTTTATGTAAAAAGAAAAAAAAAAAAAAAGTAGATTTAGAACTGATTAAAATAATCCACAAAAGTCCTCTTCCTTGAACACTATTTCAGACAATGTCTTGTCTTAGAAGTTGTCATGTGCCACAAAAATGGTGAAGACCGTGGAACTACTGGTCCAGGTTCTCTCCCAAATCATGTTTACTGTTACAAAGATACTAGATTTTAGGAAAAGGATTAGAAGTAGGAGAGTTTTTTCAGTACGCCTGAATGAGATGAAGGAATATAATTTTTGAGGGTGACACAATTGTCTAGTTGCCCTCTGACATTCTGGATAAGCAATTTCCACTTTCTATGCTCTGACGGCACTGTATTAATAAAGAGTTGTAATAAAATTACTCATTTTGCTCCTTTCAGAAGTCTGAACCTTCAATTAGCATAATAAAAATTACACTTATGAAACCAAGCTGTTGATCACTTGTGGCAATGGGTATCCTGAAGCCACTTCTAAGGAGAGTATGGATTGTTAATTCAGAAATTAGAAAAAAAATCAAAAACCTCATTACTCTAGCATTATGTTTCACCCCTACAAAAACCAATGTCAAGAGAGAGGGGGCTCAGACCTAAAAAAGTTGCTTAGTTGAGGTCACAGCTGAAGACAGTGGATTCCTTTAGATTTGCATTTAAGACATGGGCTTCTCTCTATAATCTCATATGAATCATTCTGCAATTTTCCCATTCTGAAGAATACAGTAATAAAACTGGCTCCTGATCCACTTTTTTTAAACTATGATTTATTAAGAGTTTGAGGCAGAACTGGTGAAAGAGAAGTTACAGACTCAGATTCATGTTCATCTCTGCCAGTTGTAAATTGCAACGCTATTTAACCTGCTGGATGTACTTCCACAACGGGTAGACTAGGGCACGAAAAGTGATCCCCAGGCTGTCACGTGTGCATAAAGGAGGTAGATTACTATCTTGCATGAAACATTCCTTTTTTCTAACAAGAATTTAGAATTTTTATTTCTGATGGAACCTGCCATGTTCTCCCTGTAAAAAGAACTGTGCTGACCCAATGAAGTATCCTCAGGAAGATTAACTTTGGTAGGTTTGTATGAATGTGACTAAGGATGAACTTTTACAATTTTTTCTTCAAGGTGCAAATAGACTTTATTTTCTTTTCCCTCAAGTTTACGACTCTATACCAGCCAAGAAAGTCTGAAAAGAAACAATCATGTTAGTGATCTTCTTGCTCTCTCGCTCTAAAAAGAGCTGACACTCAGGACTCCTAGTGAGGTAGGAGTCCTATCATTTGGCATTGGTCTCTTCTCCCAGGTAATTAGTGACAAGACAAGAGGTAATGGCCTCAAGTTGCACCAGGAGAGATTTAGATCGGATATTAGGAAAAATTTCTTTACTGAAAGAGTGGTCAGACATTGGAACAGGCTGGGCCGGGGGGGGGGGGGGG